AGAAAAGGATTAATAGAATTGAACTGCAGCCATAAAGCCATGTTAAAATGAGCCAAGGTATGTTGCTGTTGGTGTGTTTAGTTCAGTCTCCAGAGCCATTAGTGGCTCCTGTGTTGGAACACAAATGCAGTAAATCTGATGCCAAATCATAGAATACCATGTTGGGGAGAGGTGGAAGAGTCCATCAAGCTTTCCATTTTGATGTTCCATTCTGGATTTCAATATGTTCCTTTTAATTCTAGATATAATCTCCCTAGACCATTTCCAGATCATTCAGATCTGTATATACAGTGTTAACTCTGAATAGATGTGGAATATATAGGAATATATACATTGATTCCATTTTAATCAGACTACATCTACTTGTACCTGACTGTGTGATACTGAACCAGCTTCTTTGCTCAATTTTATCTTTCATGGTATAAAGCTTTTGAATTATAATCACTCTATGTAAACCAGTAAGATAAGCTGTTATGAAAAGTTAAAGATGTAAGGCCCTAGTTCGCTTTCAAAAATGTTTATTGGTGTCTAATTAGATTACTACTCTGAATAAAAACATTTGTTTTCCAAATTAATTTAAAAATCAGAATTGGCACCAACTACTGTGTAATATCTCCAGTAACAGGATCTGCCTCAGTAAGGGTAAAATTGTCCTCTGATTACACAGCTGTACTTGGTTTCAAGCTGAACCTCTGCTCTCGCTACACATACAGATCTCTGATACCAAAATGATTTCCTTCTGTGCATGGCAGGGGAACAGAATATTAATGCCAAATACCACCATATATTCCACTTTCAAAACTGTGAAAAGACTAAACCCACTTATAATAAAAATGCTGGCTGAACTATAATTATAATTATAGTGTTAGACACAGCAGTAATTAAAGACCAGGATCAATAGCTGTCAAGTGTCTGCAGGTGCTATAAACATTACTTTTCTATGAAGATATGAAAGCTGAAAAGATCACTTAAATTCTAGTTTTAAATGACCATGCTAATGGAACTATATTTTAGCCAGAGAAGAATCTGCTATTTAAAGTGAAAGACAGATGAAGGAGCACCAGCTTGAACTGAAAATAAACCCCCTATTTGCAAAGAAATGGATGAGTTGATCATAGCATTTCTTCACTGCTATGTATTTTATCGTTATCATTTAGTTGAAAAATTTACAGTATGGAATTTACTCTTGCCTTTTTTTCAATAATAACTGAATTGGCACCTCTTTTTATGACACATTTATTGAAAATAAATTATTAAAAATACAAATTAGACACATCACTTTTATTAAGCTAAATACCCATGGTGGCTGTACTTCTTTTTATTATTGTCTTCACAAATCTTATGCTTTAAGTTCTTTGCATTTTTGTTTTTGTTTTTCTTCATCTGTGTTTTACTCTAACCTTTTCCAGGTCTTTCTGTTTAGAACTGTTTTGGGGTTTTTTGCACTCATTGATTTTTTTTTATATTGGTTTGCAATGGATATTTTGTGAAAGTGATGGTCATTGTATTTAATATTTAAATTGAATTTTTCAGATTCTTTTCTTCTTTCTCTGAAACTTTTTTTATTGATTATTTTCAGACATGTTAGAGAGTTTTACATAGAAAGGTGTATTTCATTGCAAAAAACAGTTTAATAAAAAATAATTTTAAAAAGGGGAAAAAAAATGAAATGAAGAAAGAGAGAGAAAGCTGGCCAGGCTTTTGGAAATTGTTTTACTCTGATGCATGTTAATGATATTACCACAAACACCTTATCTCTCCAGTGTACCACAGTGACAGTTATAAGTGGGAAATTGAATTATTTGGAACTTCCGTTGCCTTCTGATTGGCTGTTTTTTTTAAATTTAATTAAATAAAATAAAACTTTACTGCACTTCTATGAATAAATAGTTTTTTACTTTTTTTTCCTTAAAAAATTTATATGTAAAGATCACGGCCATTCAGCAATCTGACAGGGTAAAATCCATTTAGTTTAATGAGAATTCTATAGAAAATACCTATTTTTATTACTCATGGGTATTTTTATAATTTTCTTATTGCAACATAGTTATACGTATTTATGTAATTTTTCTTGGCTCACAGCCCAAACTATTGAATTTAATTGTGTGTGTGGGGAAATGTTTAGGTTTTTGTGCTATGGCATATCCAGTTTTGCTGTGCGGCAGGTCCTGTAGCATTCCCCTTCCTTCATCTGCACAGTGCTAGGTTGTATACTAGTATAGCAGGTCTAAAGAAGAATCTGCATGCATGACTTTTTTTCATATGTTGTATTCCAGCATCTATGGTTAACGGTAAAATCACTTATGTCAATGGGGCACTCCATGAGCAGGAGGACATGCTACATGCAGAAGTAGGCAGGAATGGGGCCTAGGTTTGCTAAAAGTCTAACTTGATGTCTGATTCTGCTTCCATGGAAATCCAACATCAAAATTCATCCTGACTTCAGTGAAACCAGATTCCAGTTGTTAATGTGATCTTTTGATTTTTTTAAGTGGTTGATTATTCAGTAAAGGTGGACTGGAACTTAATTGTTTAAGTCCTGATGTGACTTAGCTTCATACAGATTGCAGAATCCAGTAAATGCTATTGGCTATCAGCCCTTTTGCTGCACATAGGACATGACTTGCAGCCTTTAAAATATATTCTTTTTAGATTAAAAGCTATATTTATACCAACAATTGTATTTTATATTAGAGGGGCACCATTGACTCAAATTCCAAAATATAGTTGGGATGTAAACAGAAATGTGACCTTTCAGAAAACCACTAGAAAAGGTTGTTCTTAAGTATTTCTAGGCAGTGGAAGCAAAACATTACAGCATTCAGAAGCTGAAAGCAGAGCCCGTGAAAAAATTTCACTAATTATTTTTTTTGTTTTTCACTCAAAAATCTTTTCATTGAAAAATTTCTACCAGCTTTACCTAAAAGTTAATCTGACTTCATTATTATTATCCATGCTGGAAAAAAAATTAAGTAAACAAAGTATATATAGCAAATAAAAAAACTAGATTTAAAAGAAATTTCAGTTTTAATAATATAGGGGAATGGTTCTAGTAACATAAAACTTGTCAGCGTCCCTTCATCCAGACCATTAAGGAATCCTTAAACAGTTTAGAAAATATCACTAATAACTTAAAAACTAATTTTAAAATATTTATTTGTTAATAGGATGAATAACTAAGTAGTGTCATTTTGTTCTTAAAGGGATACAGTCTCGTATATTAAGTCATTTATTACTAATACATATTAGTGTATTACTAATAACCTAAATTTCAGGCCTAAAGTCTAGACAATGGCCCTTTAATACAACATACAAATCTGGAGCAACAAAGTAATTCATATACTTTGAATGTAGCATTGGTTTTGCATTGCAGCACTCTATGTACAGTGTTCAGGTATCACTTCTTACATACGTGTAGTAAATACTGGAAAATGTCCATTGCTGCTCCTCTCAGGCCTCCCTCCAAAATTCCCTCTTTGTACTAGCCTATACTACAGAAACTGTGTACTAACAACCATCACGGCTAGCACGGTTTAGCCGTATCATGAATGGTTTTAAAACAATGTTTTAAGGCTATGACAGGTCCACTGTAGTGGCACAACTAGTTAACCTGAAACTGTTCTTGAAAAGTGTAGTTTTTGTAACGTAGGTTGTAACCTGGGCTATCTTTTGTCACTCTTGATGCTGTGTCTCTCTCGTGCCTGAAACTACATCATTCAGTTCATATTCACACACGCACAACAAGCTGCGTTCCTTTTTCTCCTTTAGATTTTTAGAATGTACTTTTGCAAAGCCTTCAGTGCTCATCTCTTCAATCTTGTCAGCTCAAAACACAAAATGGAGTAGTTTACTAGTGTTCTGTTCTAAACAACATTCAGATCAACTTCAGTGGAACTCACTTAAGCAATCAGTCAACAGGTTTCTTAAAATACTCCTTCACAAGAGACAGAAATGCACATATTGGGCCAGAACCTCAGCTGCAGGCAAGCAGCATCAGCACAACTTGGCAGAGAGACAAAAGGGGGGGACAATAGAGGCTTTCAGAGGCTACTTGAGCCGAACCAGCCCCCCAGTTTAAGAACAGCCTTGAGCCAGCTACCAATGACCCCAAGGGACTGGTACTGCAACTGGGGAGCTCTGTGGCATCCTGGCCATGCCCATCTTTCTCTGGCCACATCCATTGCAGTGGTGGCTGGGAGGGACGTGTGATAAAAATTGCTACAGTGGCTCTAGAATATGCAAGGATCCCACTACTCAAGGGAGATCCTCTTGTAGCTGGGTAAATTAGCTTTAGGACAAGTTTGCACAAATTGAGTGGTGAAAGGTTGCCCTAATGAAGGGGAGAATCTTAAGTTATTAACACTATATCAATGTTAATGTTCCCTACAGAGCACAGAAAATGTCACATTACTATTGAGGTGGCCTCTTATTGTTATTTTATCATCAATCTGACAAGCAATTGTTGGTAATGAGTTTTTCCCCCAACTATGAAATATAAAAGTTTTCATATAGAAATATTTTAATTTGCATGCTATGCCAAATAAATGCCAAAAAAAGGGCAAGAGATTAGCAACCATATAATAAAAGTTTTGGGTGAGTTCAAAACCCCCTGAGAGCAGAGTCCTCTGAACCCTGTAATGGAGTTCCTGTTTTATTTTGTTACATATTTTTATATCAGCTAGTTGTTACTTGAAAACTTTTGTTTACTTTCCATATTCTAAAAATGCATGAAGTGTCAGAAGCCATGTTAGTACACATGTATGATCATGGCATCTGCCATAAGCCATGTTAGTGCACGTCTGTGATCATGGTATAAACCATCCAAGCTGACTCTTTTGAATTCAAACTGTTTTGGAATATATACACATTCTAGAACAGAAAGTACAATATTGGCTGTACACTGAAATCCAATGACTTTTGGTTTCTGTTTATGGAATAAAGTCTTTTTTTTTTTTTTTACCTCTTTGCCTTAAGATCTTCCTTATTTTTTTCATTCACAGATCGAAATACTAAAGAAAAAGATCATGCAAAAGGAATTGTTTATAATGCAGCTTCTAGAAAAAATCTCTTTCCTAGAATGCGAGGTAAGGACTTAAATTAGCTTTACTCTTTTAAGGGTTAAAATTGTTTTGATGTGATTTACAAGAACTGTTAAAGTTAGAACCATGCGGTCTGATATTTTCTTTATGTAAATTCACTGTATGTAGTAACTGGTCTTGAATATGGAAACAGAAATAGTTGTGACATCAGGATCATCATGAATGCATGTAATAAACAAATAATCTTCACATTCATGTTGAACTTCTGTAACATAGTTATGCATTTACACTATAGAGACATTAGAAAAATCTAGCATTCTATATGAACGTCATTGATTGACTTATGTTTTACAGTCACAGTAACTTTATTTTCCAAAAATAAATAAATTTTGTGTATTCTAAATAATATTTTTAGAATGTTGATGAAGAAAGCCTTATACTGGACTTTATTAATTAAAAGAGAGAATACAATGTTAATGAGCTGAAATCATTTAAACTTATTTGTCTTCTCGGAAAATGCAACTTGAAAGGTCATGCAGAAAATCCTTCTTTTCCAGAATAAAGAATTACAAGACAGGTTGGACTACTTAATGGAAACCCAGCCAAGGACTAATGTAGAAACAAGAGAGATCGGAGTAGGATGTGATCTTCCATCCAGGTATTCAGAGCTTCAACTAATTTACTGGAAAGGGTTCTCCGCAGAAAATCACTCTGTCAATAAACCTATCCATTAAAACAGCATGTGGATTTGGAACAATAGTTTATATCTCTACCAACAGTAATTTCTCGAGAACTTATCCGCAGTCTAATAGTTAACGTACTTTTATTTAATGATCTTTTTCTTCATGGCATACAGAGTGGTGTGTAGCATAGAAATGATATTTACCATTGACTTAATTTCTGACACCTACAACAAACATGTTTCTTTCCTTTAAATGATGGAGCATGGTAGAGACTCCTGGAGTATTTAACTACAAAAGGTTGAAATGAGCAGGGAGTTAAACCTAGACCCCTGGAGTTCCACCTTTTGGAGGATATCAAAGAATTGTTCTTGTGACCTATAGGAAAAATAGCATTCAAGTTTTCCTACTGTGAGTGCAGCAGAACATAGCAGCAGAACTTTAGCACTTCAGTTGGGTTGCATAAAGTATCTAGTATGTTGGGCAGTACTGGAATTTGGCTGATCCATAATTCAAATTAGGCTAATGTTGTGTGTTCAAAACATACATGGTCCATCACTATTTTAAAAAGTCAGTGTTTGCTTAAAATTGCTAGATATTATCTGAAATACTACAGGAACCTAATATAGGAAATAACATATTGTTGACCACTGTTTGCTGTAAGTGCGCCTCTGAAAGCTGTTACAATATAACTATTAACATATTAACTGTTGAACTACGTGTGTGTAACTAGGTGAATCCTGTTCCAAGCCTGACTAATACAAGCTTCAGGGGTGGGAGGAAAAAGTGGTGACTCCTTCTAAAGGTTGAGTAGTGGCAGTAGAGCTCCTTTTTAAGGCTGCTGTAGGTATTGTACATGCTCCCAGCCCTACATGGGGACTGGCCAGTGGATCTGCGTAGTTATGTTTTATCTTCTGAGCCTTTACCTAAACTGCTTTCTTTGCTTTGAGGGGAAGGGTGTTTTCACAGCCCATTTGTATGGGCTACACTCTCTCTTACATGCTTCAGTGGAACCATGTTTGTTCTGCTATAACCAAGGCTCTGTGCACTTGCATTAGGAGGGGGATAAAACTTGCTCAAAACTCACTTAAAATAAAAAGTAATAATTGTCCATGAACAATAAACCCCAATAGCTTTGCCATTTTTAAAACACCCAGCAGTACATTAATCCATTTTAACAGCCGTGCAAAATAAATATTTAATTTTGAGGAATGCAGGTAGGCACATGAAATCAGTAAATTATCTTGTATAATATAATTTGCCCTCCTAATATAAAAACTACCATGTCCGTTTTTCAATTTGTTTGACAACTTTGAGCCTAGAGCATAATTTAATGGCACCATGAAGCTGACAAACCCTTCTTTGTGGTGCTTCTTGGGGCCCCTTTAGATCTCAAAGCAGCCTTTGCATAGCTATCAGATTTCTCCCATTCTTGAAACTTATCCGTGACATTTACCTAGTTTCGTTTTTATGAAACATTTTACAGTCAATTTTATTTTTTAATTCCATGTTATTAGTTTTTATGGCTTTAGGGAGACTCAAGCATGCTAAATTAGAGCACCTGTGTTGCTATATAGTCTAATATGTGATTTGTTGATGCTCACATCTCAAACTTGCTAGTATCTGGCATAAGATTATCAAGAGTTCTTCGTGACATTTAAAAAGATATCTGGCGTGTATCTAACGTGCAGTACAGCTTCTAGAGCCAGTATCAAAAAGAACCTTCAAGACACAAGTTCTTTGCAGTGAAGTTTACAGTCTAGCTGCGCAAAATTACATGTCAAGCAAAACAAGTTGAACACCACAGACTTTGACAGTTAAAATGTCTTTCTCATCTCTTAGTAGTACAAACATCGACAGCAGAAGGTCTCCTGAAACGTCAAGACCTGTGAGGACATACACCCCATTCAAGAGAGTCCTGGAGTTTACTGTGAAGAATAGTACATCTTAAACACACAAATCAATGCATTCCTTACAAATAAGCAAGTGCCTTTTGCAGCTTATAAGAATTAAGCTAAGCAGCCACAGAGAAGACCAGCAGCCGAGAGTTTTGCTCAACATTTTCTGTGTGCAGCTTTTTAGTAGCTCCAGATCTGAAGTTGCTACTGACGACAGTGTTTTGCATGGGGTTGTGGAAGAAGAGCAGCGTGAAAATGCAATATGTATTGCTTCTTGAGAGGAAGCTGTATAGTGCAATTTGTCATATTTCAAACACATTGAAGGAGAGACTGCTGTACAGTTGTATAGTTTTTCTGATTGTGTGTTGTAATTCTTTTTGTAAAATGAAACTAATTTATTTTATTTTCAATCTAATATAATCTATAATTCTCCTGTAAAAGGGCATTAATTTGCAAGCCACCTCTTTTCTTCTTGGATAGATCACCTGTTACAGTCCTAAGGGCTCTGTTTGCCCAAAAAAGGTGCACTAGTATCCAACATTCTTTTGCAGAATGTTTACAGCGGAGCTGTGTACCTTAGGTAACTATCAAAGAACTTGATCCTACAAACACTTGCTAGTGAACATATTGCTTACTACTCAGTAGTAAGCACTAAAGCTTCACTGCTTTGTTGGACTGAGACCTCGGTTTGTACTACAGTTAGCTGTAAGCAATTATATTCAGTGATAAATGTTTGTAGAATCAGGACCAAGTCTTGTAGTCAAGGCCCTACATTTGGATTTGGATTTGTTCTTGGTCCATTTTGCCCTGGAAAGAGGAATGGATAACTACAGAGCAGAATTTTGCTTTCAAAGGGCAGTAGCTGCATTATTCTATTATGTGATTTTGGATTTTGATTCAGAAGCCTATTTCTTCAAAATTTGGCTTAACCTCTCATGCCCAACTTCCATGTGCCAGCAGAAATTACTCCATCTACTCTACATGTGAGTATTTGAATACAGGGATGATTTTTCACATCTTGTTTATAATCCCAGAGATTAAAAAATAATGCTAAGTTTATTTTTAAATGTTTTCTTATGGTTTTATTAAAATGAGTTTTTTAAAAGAGTAACTTTATATTAGTCACAGCTGCATTTATTTTAAAAAATGTACTGTTACTTAATGTTGCTCTAGCATTTCATATTACTGGAGGACACTAGGCATGCCTCAGGGTTTCTCACAATATGAATGTGTTCCCCAACCTTAACCCAAGATTTTAAACTTCGGCACCAGCTGTAGAAACAAAGTAAGAGATCGTGTTTTTAATTAAAATGATTAATAATCTACATCTAATAAATGCCTTGCTTACTCCCAAGTTTTTCATGTTTTTGGATGCTTGTTAGAGAAGTTTGTCTTGAAATTGCACTTTGTAACTGGCAAATAAAATAGCACATTTTTCAGGACAGAATCACAAGTGTCTGCATTGGTGTGAATAGTTTGGAACACTTGCAGAAACATTAATTGTTCGAAGAGACCAAAACAATGGAATGGAATATCAACTAAGGCACCAATTCTGCAAGTTCATATGCACAGTAGATCTCACTGTGTGTGTGAATCTGCAGAGTTAGGGCCTAGTGAACCTGGACTTCAACTTCTGAACACTGAAAATGTTCATTTTCTAAAAAGCAAAGTTCAGTTCAAAGTAAGTATTTGTTTGTTTGTTTCCTCCCCCACCCCCGCCACCCAAAAAAATCAAGAAATGTGTAAATTACTTCAAATACAGTTGGATGGAGATCTGTATAGTATCTGCTTATCTAAAGTGTTTTATTATAATCTGTGCTACCATAGAAGTAGCTCTTAAATGTTTCATTTAAAAAAAAAATCCTAAAATACTGATTCTGCATTAATAACAGTGAAGGGATAAATCTCTTTCTGCTAGTGAAAAGGCATAGAAATTGCTCCACTGGGAAAGGGCCTGAGGACCAGGCCCCCTACTTTTGATTAAAATGGGTTACTTTCTATAGACCCCTGAAATGAGGAGCTATTTTTATACTGCAAACCAGAGGAATTGTCTTGTGACCAGGTAGCAAGTACACTGAAACTACTCACACCCTGACATCAGTGGTAACTGTTGTTTTAACCTTATGTGGAGGATCTTTCCTTGAATTACACTATGGTGCCTGAGACTTGGTGCCCTTGTGGTTTCTGAGAGACTAAGCTGGCTGAACTGGGATTCCACCATCTTACAGCCAGTTTGAAGTTTATCAGAATTATAAATGAGAAGTGAAACTATTGGCAGGATCTTCAAATACATTAATATGTGCCAGAGATGATAGTGAGAGACAAGGTGGGTGAGGCAATATCTTATACTGGACCAACTTTGGTTGGCGAAAGACAAGCTTTCAAGCTACACAGAACTCTTCTGATGGTGGTTGATTTTTGTATACCCAATGCATATATGGTATGCTTGCCTAGTGCATGTGATCATGACTCCCTCTGGTGGCTGATAGCAGCAACCATTCAGACTATAACTTAGCCTGATTTACACTAAAAAGTTAAGTTGAGCCAGCTAAGTCGCTCAGGGGTATGAAAAATCCACACCCCTGAGAGATGTATTTAAGTCGACCTAACCCCAGTGTAGACAGTGCTAGGCTGATGGAATTCAGTTATTGCCTCTCAGGGAAGTGGATCGCCTATGGGAGAACCCCTCCCATCCGCACAGGTAGTGCCTACATTGAAATACTACAGCGCTGCAGCTATGTCGCTGTAGTGTTTCAAGTGTCGATAGGCCCTCATTGTTTTTACTTTGTTCAAGTGATAGATGCCTGTGATCTTGATGCTGAAGATTTTTGAATTGAATCCCACTTGTGATTCTGGTGTCCTCATGGGTACGCAGCCACAGTTCATTACACAAGCATCTCTTGACATCTTACATGGCAAGATGGCTCCACAAGCGGTTTATCTTGATCATGTGATGAGGCTGGTTTATTATATGGGAGCAATCTTTAAACTTCAGGTGGCTGGATGAAGACTGAATTAAAAGATGGGTGAAAGGTGCATGGTTACAAAAGATGTTAAGCTTTTCCCCCTAAGTCATAATGGAGCCCAATGCAGTTAGTTACATAGGCAAAGGTTCAGAAACAACAGTCATTTTGGGGAGTTTCTCAGCAAATGGCATTTGCTTGGAGATTGTGAGAGAATGCGGGAAACGTTGGGCTGTATTTTATTATAAATATCAAAAGGAAATTCATTATGCTTTCAAAGGGTTCAATGGAATCTCTTCTGAAAGTGTCATACAGGCCTCATTAACTCTGAGTAAAGCAAAAAATCAACCACTCTGACTGTGAAACTGCACTGGGCTTGCTTCAGAGCAACTGGATCTTGGGTCTTCCTTGTATAAGTTTCCTCTTAAAAATATATTATGATTTATAGAATAATTTGAAATATGGATTAATTTCTAAACCAAATGACAAGGACTGAAGAAACTATGTACTAGTTAAGGACATCTTGATATCTGATATGCTGCATAGAAATCACTGACTAAAAGAACAGACAAGGATTTTATAATTGAATTTTGTTCAGACTTGATTGATGGATACTGTGTGGTCTTGATGACGAAGGAGGGAGAGGGGAAAAAAGTTTGTTACTCAGAGAACAGTTAAAGATTTAGGGTCAGATCATCAGCTGGTGTAAATCAGCATAGTTCCACTGTCAGGAGGTCAAACTAGATGATCAGTGGGTCCTTCTGGCCTTTGAGTATATATACCTAAGTCAAACTGTAAAAGTGTTTTCATATTTCAATATCCTGTTTGTCAACACTGGTTCTGATAAATGTGTCTTACCACACTGGAAATTAGGGGGTTTCTGGAATAGTCAATGAGATCCTTGTAGCTAGGTCCTATAAAGTGCATTGAATATGTAAGAGTAAATTATATCATTTGATTTAGATCACAAAACAGTGCTCATACCCCATATTCTTTTGTAATTTAAACCATGTTGTCAGCTTTCTTGTATTTAACTCAGAAAAGCATTTGGGGATTCAGTTTGCATATACACTGTATAAATAATAGTTACATTGTACATTTTAATATCTACGGTATGTAGGATTTGAAAAAGGATAAACTGCAATAAATATTCTGTATTTTATATGAATTTTTAAACTCTAGTGTCTCAACACTGATTAGAATATAAGTTTACCATAAAAACCATAGAAACAACTTATCCTACAAACCCTTCTAGGTGCAAAACATGTATGAATTTGAAAGTGATTTGTTTGGCTCTTGGACTTTCTTGTTAATGTTTCCTTTGGCAGATGTACTCTTGAGAACAGGAAATCTCTCCCTTGTTTAGGACTGAAAACTGCTCTTTGAGCTAAGTATCAAGTAGATGAGGCTCTTAATTAAAGAAAAGAGAACTGTAGACTTGTTTTGGATACACAACAACTGGCATAGTGGTCCCTTCTCCCTCAAAAAACAAACACAAAAAAAACTATTCTAAAAATGACTATCCATTCTGTTGTCTAAACCGAGGGCAGATGAAGATAGATTCCCAAGTACTCAGGGATGATGCTCCATTGACATCACTGGAGTTATACCACTAGAATAAATTGGCCCATTTTTTATAACTTAAATTTCCATTATTAATCAGACATATTAATGTGTATATTGTCTTCTAAAAACATATTTTAAATGAAGCAAATAATATGTTGACTGCATCAAAAAAGTCTTATAAATATGCAAGCAATAGCAAAGATTAGAACCAGGGACTAATCAATGATGAGCAGTGTTATTAGTTTACAGAACTCATCTTAAGAAAGCAAAGTGTTATAGCATAGCTAATACCTTCTTAGATGTACTTTTATATGGGCATTTTTTTATAGCTTTGGGGTGCCTCTCAGACTTGGACTCTGGTTTTCCTGTAAATTGCCAAAATGCACTAATAAAATCTTGTTACTATCTGGAGGTTTTAATGCTTCTAAGCTTTCATGAAGAATTCCAGGATTTTCTGAGTGGGGGATTGGGTTTTTTGGGGGGAACGGGGGTTAAGTCCCTGATTTGACATTT